GTTACAAATCCACAAAGTGAGAAGAAAATTTTTCGTCTTTTTCAGCTCGTAGTTTTTGGTATGTAAAAATTATCAAACTCATATAAACTTAAAAAATGTGATAAGCTTTTAAAAGTAGAGATTTCAAGCTTTAAAACCCTTTTTTTAAATTTCATTCATTATTCACGAAGATATTATATATACAACTTTGAGCTAAAAAATACGCGATGACTTTTTACTACACCTAATATATATCATCAAAATAATTCTGATATTTGTATATTTATACTCGCTATTTGTTTAAGCAATTATTGAAATTTTTTAATTCCAGATAAAAATAAAGATTATAATAATTTTTGAAAATCATACCTTCCTCTTCTTCTTGCTCATCATCTTCATTATCCTCATCGTCATCTTCTTCCTCTTCTTCACCCATATAATCCTCTTCATCACTGTCCTGTATCCCGATATATAATATATATTTTTTAAACATATTTTATTAAATGTAATAAGATCATCATAATGTTATATAAAAACCTATAAAATCTACACATTGTTACGATTATATATTGTGAATAATAAAAGTCTAATAAGCGAAAGATCTCGATGAACGTACTATCGAGCATGCTAAATGCGCTTCAAGTTTAACTTTATGAATTACTTAAACGTGAAGTGAACTCACCACAAGCTTTTCCTTATAGACAATATCTAATCCTGGATCATCATCTAGGAAATCCTCGTCTTCTTCATCTGAAACTATATTTCGATATGTATATTCATCACTATTATTTTTATGTACATTGACATAATTTTGTTATCGTTAATAAACATTTCTACTTAATTAAATTTTTATTTACAATTATTACGTGATCAACCAACCTTCTTCACTGTCTTCTTCGTTGCCACCTCCTTCTCCATCTTCGTTTCCATTGACTTCATCATCCTCCCCATCACTGTCGACTTCGCAATCATCAGCGTCATATCTGAACAAAACACAATCAATCGTTTTGAGAAAATAAACGAAATAACAAAGCCAAGCCAGTGTATAATTACCCGTCAAGATATCGTAGACTGGGAATAAGATTGAAGACTTTCTCCCTATAATTATCCATATTTGTCACTTCATTATTGAACAAATCTAGACTTTTCAGATTCTTGAATTCTTTCTGAAATACAAAAGAATTTCGCAATAGGATTTTACTTGACGATAGACAGATTTCAGCTTTCTATAACAAATATAAAACTTACCAATGGTTGTAGCGTATCAAGATCTTTAATCTTGTTTCCACTCAAATTTAGGTGAGTCAACTTCGGGCTCGAATCGAGCAGATTTAAACCTCCCGAAATCCGATTGTCGCTTAACTCCAACTGCATAATACAAAAAAAAAAACAATTTGCACTCATACATGAAAACAGAAAATTTGTTTGATAAAAACAATTATTACCATTTCATTAAACACCTTCTTTAATATACTTCTATATTATTTCTGATAAGTATAATTTAATAAGTATCTTGGAGGTACTTTGCGATACATAAGTAGAAATATGTATATATACCTTTTTAAGGCTGGACAACTTTGGGAAGCCTTTTAGACTGGTAAGACCCACATTGATAAGACTCAATGACTCCAGAGCGCTGAATTCATTTGTCAAACCCACAATTTGCGTACTCCGGCAATTATCAAGAACAAGTTCTTTGATCTGTAACATGCAGAAATCATCTAATTATTTACAAGTAGATGACGAAGAAAGTCATATAAATATCAGAAGCAGATATCTCATGTAGCTGAAAGACATACCGAGAATATTAATCATGTTAAGACATTCATTAATATTTTTGAGTTAGTAAATGACTGCGTTTGGGAACGGATGGCGATCATCGATTCGTGAAATCATATTCAAATTGAAATCGTATTCAGATTCACGCGGCTACGGAATCGGCGCGCTCGAAAGGATGCGGTCGGACATAGTCGTGGCGGTGAGCGCTCGCGGTCGAAAAAGTCGTCCTCGCTAAAATTCAAACGAGCGATAAGCGCTTTCGCGGGAGAGATGGACTATTTTATTGATCGGAGAAAGAGAAAGGCCAGAGGGTGAGAGCGGGACCGGATAAGAGGACAGAGATGGCGCGGAGCGGTCGGAAAGGGTGAGGCAGATGAAGAGCGGTGACGAGAGGGAGAGGGAGGGGGAGGGAGCAGCGACGTGACGGTAAGCGTAGTGCATGCCGCGTCTTGTTTAGCCGCGTCGGAAAAGCCGGCGAGTCGACAAGCATGGACTGTGGCACGCGACGCCGAGTACGAGAAGTGGGATTGGATATAGGAGGGGGAGGGGATGAAGGGTGGTCATCATCGATACCGGATGCCTCAATGCCGGAAGTATCGATACTCCCATATCACATTATTGCGCCCATGATGTAATGAGGCAAGGTGTTACATCGCCATTGGTCTGCACTCCTCTCAACAATGGCCAATGGATAAGCCTTATCTTTTGAATTTTAAAAAGGAATGCAAGCCAGGTGTTACGCCGCGGTTAGGTTCGTCGGGGGGTAGATTTTTAATTAGCTGCTTATACACATCGATTCACTAATGTCACCGCCATTACGTGCGATGTTTACATCATAGGTCTGTTCTTTTTTCATATCCCAGGACTGAATGTCTTGTACGGTTCATGTTGTTGTTTTTTTTTTCACTTTGATGAGAAAAAATGAACCATGCTGACCACGCAAGAAGTTCAGAGTCCTGGAAAAAGAATAGGTTTCTTTTCTTTTTACGTGGCGATTCTCTCGCAAATATGAGATATTTAGCTATGATATTCTGTTACATTTGATATATACATTTGATACACATGTCATGTTGACACACCATAGATACGCGCTTTGCATAGACGAAAGTTTATATACTGTCTCATGTTCAATAAATAGAAACATAATAAGGAAATAGAAATTTTACATATAATTCTTAATATATTATATTATTACATTTATGCTAAGTTGTTTTAAAAATTATTAGCTTTACTCTCATCACACTTCATTATATGTATATCAATTATAATAAAAAGTGATAGAATATATCTGTGTTGCCATAAAAAAAGTTGATGCATAATCAACTCTACGTTATCAATACAATCCAAAAGAAATAATACAAAGCATCTCCATTTTTTCTTAAAGAAATATTTATTTCTTTGAATTTTATATTCTTTGAGGATAGAATTTATCTCAGTTATTGATGATCAACTTTACATTACTAATACTGAAAAAAATAACACGCAAAGTGTATCTATATTTTTTCTTAAAAAATTCTCTATATTTTATATTCTTTGGGGACAGAATTTATTTCATTGTAAGTTACCAGTGAAAAAGTTGATACTATTAATGATTGACGTTACATTAAATACTGAAGAAAGTAATATATATCTATTTTTTTTTTTTCATAAAAGGGATATCTATTTCTATGAATTTTTTAGGAATAATATCACGGATTCCTTTTCATTAACCTGTACCGTAATTCGCAAGCTTTACCATAAAACCCGAATTAAATTTCGCGGACAAGCGTACGATATGTCTCGCGTTTATTGAGATTCCTCTAACTTAATTTTGAAATTGAATTACATGCAACTTTTTCATCCCATACTCCTCGCCTTAGATATCTTGCGTGCTCCATACAACCAATCGGTTGGCTACATGTATCCCATGTTGCACCGATCGTAATGATAACGTCACGAGGTGTCATAGGAGCCGATCAATGACAGTCGCGGATCAAGGAAACCAGGAAGACGCGAACGTTACGTCACTCGGATTCTCCAACGTTTCGAAATGTGAAATTGCCGTGTAACAAAGACAGATATATTGTGTAATCACGCGATTACATAATAAAACGCAGTTTTGTTATCGACAAATGTTTTTTATTTTTATTTATTTTTCGTCTACAATTCCGAATTGTACAAAATACGCTCTTCTACGTTTATTCCCAAATTCGCGTATTGCGATATTAAAATTAAACCAGAAGGCATTCCTCAATCTAAATAAACATTGACCGGTACGTTTCCAATTTGGAAAATATTGCCGCCATGCTCCCGAGTGGCACGGCACTGTTGCCACCATCCAAGATGCATTGCAAATGCAACGCGGGTGGTCAATGCAGAGTGGATAAAGTTTTGGAGTCGTAAATATGTAAGAGCTGCTCGCGATTTTAACTAGCACGTAAACTCAACATCTGTTTAACTTATGCATTTAGGAAGGATGTTGTATAACACAGTAAAGATATTGTTGTTCTTGTTCTCTTATTTCAAAATAACTATGCAAAACATCTCGGTTCGTCTTGGCGCGATTGTAATACAATAGATATACATGAAATTAAAGTGTACAGCAGAAATAGCAGCTTTGCAATTGTTGTAAAATTCTAATATGATCGAATATTAAGTGAAAATTAGGCGATAAGATTAAATATATGTGAGTGAAAAATGCCATATTTAAATTAAGGTGATTCTTTAGGCCTAATAATATCTCTTATAAATTTAAAGTTAGTTTGAACTGGAAATTATATAAATTCACAAAAAATGTTATTAATACAAAGAACCGCGGCCTTGGCTGAGTAATCCGAGTATATTTTTCACTCACATATGTCAAATTATATCCAATTTGAGTTACTAATCACTTTTATAGGTCGCCACTGTTTTTATTTCACATTTTGTTAAAAATAACAAAATGTTATTTGATTCAAGAGATTGAGTTACTTGTTCCTTTGATACCTAACAGTGCGATTCCATCAATTTAAGATTAACATTAATATCGGTTTAGCTTAAATTTTTTAATTAAAAAAAGATAAAAAGTAAATTAAACCGAGACATTTAATTTTATACTAAACTTAAATGTATAAACCAATCATATTAAAGAATTTTATAACAGTCACAAACTGCTTTCTCTGCTGAACGCATCCAATGCCTTGAATTTAGACATTTATCGAAACGAATTATATGCTTCGATATATCCATAAATTTACGTGTTAACACATTAATGATCCTGTGCGTTATGTACATCGTGACCATATTTTTTTACAAAATAAAAGAAAATAAAAGACAAACTTGAAAATTTTAGGGCTTTATTCCTAAATATTTTCAAATTGGTTTATAATTGTTAGACAACTGCACGTTCATTTTTGAAATTTTCTTGCACAGTATACTTAAGTTAATTCTCAAGTAAAGCACAAATCAAAATTTTGATGTTATGACTTTATTATTCTCTATTTAAGTTTAAAATTTGTTTCCGTAAAAATTCACCCACATTAGTAGAACATTAGACAATGCTAATTAGAAAGGAATTTCCCGTAATATCATTAAAATAAAGAGCAGAAAAGTAAGTTTTAAAAAATAAATAGATCTTATGGACAGAGCTGACCTGAAGGACAGTCCTTTACAATAAAGAAGGTATCATCGTATTATGTAAAAGATAACAATAACACACATTCTACAATAAGCTATTATTTAAAGCTTTAAATCTTAAGAAAGACTTAAACTGTAAGAAATTGATCAGTTACAGTCGAATGTGAGAAGAACAATTGACTATTATGGGCTTTCTACAATAACTTATTACCCAAGCTTTAAGTTTTAAGCTAATCGATTATTCTTCTCACATTCTATTGTGATTGGTTAATTTCTTATGATTTAAGACTTAAAACTTAGAGATAATAGATTATTGTAGAAAGCCCATTATTAGTCAACTTCTTACGACTTAAAATTTAAAGTATAGATAATTTTAGATGGCTTATGGTATAGAAAGTTCATTAGAAACATTTTTACGAAGTTTTGAGCGCGAAAGAAAATTGCCAAATTTGTATCGTGTCAAAATTGTTCTGACGCCACACCCTAGCTACGGCTCTGCGGACGCCTACGCGTCCCAGAGAGACGCGAACGCGGCGATGCACCTGAAGAAAGTCGGGCAATGCCGACTGACATCGGCCGAGCAGGCAGCTTCGATTTGGCTCGACTCGACTTGGCGATGCGTTGCGATGCGACGTGACGTGACGTGACGTGACGTTACATTACGTTACGTCGCGCCGCTACGGCGAAAAAAATTCGTTCGTCGTGGCCGCGCGTGCCACTCGGCGGTCGGATCAGCCGGCAAAGTGGACTCGTCCAAGATGGCGGCATGGTGATTGGCGGCGCGTCACGAAACGCGATCCGGTGCGCACGGCAGTGATTTGTACTTACTGTGTGTGTGTGTGGCGTGCGTGTGCGCGCGCGCGCAGGCGGCCACGCACGCAGTGGCACGCACGTCACACACGTGAGAAGGTAACAAGGTGCATCGCGCGATCGACGAGTTGACGTCGCAATGCCGGGATGGAGGATTCCCGGCTGGCAGCCGAACGCGTCCTCCGGTGAAGAGGCGTCCCGGCGCCACACGTTACGATGCAATGGCGACGTCCAGGTTGCCGCGTGCACGCGCCTCGCTCATGGCGGCGCGCGCGTTTCATTTACATAACGCGGCCGCTGCTGACGCGACGCGCGCGCAACATACGCTTTTCGCGCGATCGGGATTGGTGGCGACGCCTCGATGTTAAAAAATACATTAATCGAGTAAACATATGTCGCGTTAATTTCTAACACGTATCACGTAATGATCTGTATGATCGTGATAAACGTGACGTATTCCGCGAAAGAGAGAGAACATGATCGTAGGAAGTCCAGAAAAAATGGACTTCTGTCCAGCGATAGAATTAAGCCACACGATACTCTTTTTTTTTTGGATCGCTTGCATTTTAGATAAATCAGAATTGCATTACAGAACGCGAAATTTCTAGTAATTTATTGAAACACAAGCAAGGAAACCGTGCATCGTGTGCCGCAGGCTTTACTTAGGTTGCTAGCTATTCGTTTAAATTCTATTAGCCTCTATGGGTGCTTTCCATTTGATGACACAAATGTCACTCTGTTTTTGTTCATTGTATGTCACGATAAAATAATATCCGGTCGATTTGTGTTACTAAATGGAAAGCATGTCTTCTTATATCTTTCGACATTTAACGAGGAAATAAACGCTTTTTTTGGCATTAGAAAATTTCTCCGCCAACTGCACCATCGTGACAGCAAATGTCCTATGCACTTTAACGCGCATCGATGACAAAATGTCAATGGGTGTTAAGTCGTCGAAGCGATGCTTACGTCGATATTTTTGAATTGACCGAAAGTACGGAGCACCGTTAGTAGGTTTCGATATGTCGAAGCAATAATATTAAGAACGCTCAAAGGTTCTAGTTTGTACGTTTTGGCGCTCGCTCGGGAAATGCAACACCTCGTGGCAGCCTTTTTATACCGATCGATGTCGCAAATTGCAAAGATTCCCGGGAACGATCATTATCACTGAGAACAGTGGCATACCTTTATTATACTCTCATACAGAAAATTGCACATACTTTACTTAAATATTAGCAACTTGTTTCAAATATTTCAAAAGTTCTCAAAATATATCTGCACAAATCTATCACAAATATCAAATTTATTCAAAGTGCATTCTAAATTCTAGCTAGCTTAAACTCAAACAATCAAGATTATTGAATTGGAACAAATTTTATTTATTATATATATAAAATTGTTTCTTCGATAACATTTTATAACGTTCTTAAAAAAAAATAAATAAATAAATTCTTGTTTTGAGAACATGAGTTGACAAATGATTAGTAAGTTTTTTTCTAAAATTTGTGATAAGTATTTCAAGATTATGAAAAAAATGTTCTTTGTTAAAACAATATTATTTTGAGATATTACTTAAAAGAAATAAACTGAGTAATGACTTTTCTCAACAGTAGAATATGTTTCTGTGTACAGGAAAAGTGCATTTTGAAAACAAATTCTTGTAAGAACTATAAAAGATTACATTTTAAACAAAGAGTTGTGAATGTGTGCGTAAAAGACATAGAAAATAAAGAAAAAAAAACTTCAAAAATAATAAAATAATAGAGATCGAACTTTAAATAAATTAACGTTAAAACGAATTTAATTGTAGAATATAATTAAGTATAATTTTATTAAAAATTTCAATGAAGAAAATATATTCAATCTCAAAAAAAGATTTAATATCATCTATGCATATAATATATTCTTATAATTTTAAATTTAGCATAAACATAATTAAAAATGATTAAAAATCTCTATATTTAAGGCACTGAAAAGTTACAAAATTTATGAAGATTTCCAAAGAAACGAGTTACAAAATATTAATATAAAGAGACATCGAAAAAAATAATGACACAAGTTCGATTCGAAGTTTCGACACTTGAAAAACATGCGGGACATCTAAATCATTCTCGATTTCCTTGCGTAAATCAATTCGATCTATAGTGCGATAAATACTCGGCGAAAAATATTTTATAAGTCATCTCTATTAATTGACACTTAACGGATGTATCGTACATTTCTATTAGAAAATTTCAAGTACAATTACTGTTTGGTTCTTTGCAGTCACGTTTAATTAATGGACACAGTCGTAACCATTAATAGAGAATTTGACGCGTTTGGTCCGCAGTGAAATCCACGGAAAATCCATTATCGAAGTATTTCACTGATTAACTCTAATCACATTTATGGCACCGCATCGGTGCTCTGTCTCTCAATTACATTTGTTATCGTTAACGCTCGTATACACGAATAGTTGACGGATATTCAAATGATTGATTTTACAAATTTGTTCCAAAAATATACCATTCCGCGCGGGCTGACTTAATTTAATTTACTTATCTCCATGACGTCACGACGATTTTCGTTTCGCGTATTTGAAAAACGGATATACATACGTGTATGCATATATATATATATATTACCAGGTTACATAATTCAGCGTACCGATTTAAGCAGATTGATTTCCGAGTAGTAACAAGCGATACAATTAAACTTGGGACAGCGATACGTTTTTACACAATCACATATGTGTAAAGTGATTCATTTCCAGACATCTTGAAATTGATGTTTATTCGAGTGTATAATTTATGTATGCAAGTTTTATCGACAATTTTACACTCGTGTTCTCGTAGGAAATTCCGTAAAATTTTTGTTTTCTCTACATAAAAAAGATATCAAGAGACGTATTCACGTTTGCGCGTTCATTGTTAATAATTAATTAACGCTCGTTGTCACAGCGAGAAATTAGACTCGGACCAATCCTGGATTTGGGTGTCGACCTGCTCACATATATGTGATCAAATACATGTGTCGGGTAAACGCCGCGGAAGGATTCTACATTTCTACGTGAAACTACAATTACATATAGTACATAATACACACCCGAGGTATTTATCTTAAATTATAATTGTGTTTGTACACACACA